ACAAAAAGCTGCAAGTAGAACTGTAGCTCAAGTGAGTAGAGCGCTAGCCTTGAGCACAAAAACTCAGGGAGAGCACTCAGGCCTAGAGTTCAAGCCCCATGACGAGCAAAAAATGAAAGAGTTGGAAAACTCCCAGACTGATCATTGGAAAGGGGTAGACTATGGTTAGTTTGTGTTCTTGCCTGCCCTGTCCAGGCCAGTGGTGCTAGGAGAGGAAGGGACTGTGCCATGTACCCTGCTGTCAGAATCAGGTTGGAGAGTCCAGCAGCTGGAGGCCAAGGGTATTTACTTAACATCTCCCCCCCTCCAACATTTGACTTGTCCAGTTACTATTCTTCTTGGTCTTGCCTCCTGAAAGGAGAATCAGGGGTGGCCTTGACACTTCCTGGGAAAGAGGTGTGTGTGTGTGTGTGTGTGTGTGTGTGTGTGTGTGTGTGTGTGTGTGTGTAGGTGTGTGGGGGGGAGGCTCTTATTAGTGCATAGTTAACCAAGCCCTGACCCCGAACTCCTCCCTGGCCCTCCAGCCAAGTTTCTGTTTCTTTGTTGAAGCCATATCACTTTCACCTTTGTTTACTCCTGGGCAAAGGAAGGGGCACCCTTGAGCCAGGCTGTGTGCTGGGGGTGGTGGGGAGAGAGTGAGAAGCAGCAGTGAGAAACATGGTTGTGATTAGGGACATGGTCTAGGGGAAGATCTAGGTTTGAATCCCAGCTCTATTGCTTTCTAGCTTTATGACAGGATGGATAACTCAACTAGCTTTAGTTTGCTCATCTGTAAAACAGGGAGAGCACCTTGTAATGCTGTGGAGTCAGTAAACACACAGAGAGAGGACCCAGAAAGGTGTTGGGGTACATAGTAGGTATGAGTTACCCCAGGCTCCATACTTTTCCGGGTGTGACAGAAGCTGTAGAACTTGCGGGATAGGTCTGGCAGCTGTTTCCTAGGTTCACAATAAAGCTTAAGGGCTAGGTGAGGAGTCTCAACTGGAGCCACAGTCACTACCTGTGGATTTGCTGAGAATCTCAGAGGTAGTCCAGATCTGAGAGAGGAGAGAGGGTAAATCCTGGGAGCTAAGACACCTATCTAAACCTGGCTCTGTTGTCAGCAGCTTGACCTTGACAAAGCCCCTGAATTCTCATTCTTTTCGAGGGTTATAAAACAAGATGGTTGGACTCTGTGACCTCAGATATTTTCTGTTGGCAGGTGTTAGTCCCTATAAAATGCAAGTGGACCTACTCCTTCTTCATCTCCCTGAATGGCCTGGGAAGGAATCCAAGATCCCTAATCCCCCAAGGTAGTTGAAGTGTCCCTCAGCCAGCCACCAGGCTAACAGAGTCTCAGGCCTCAGTCAGTGATAGTTTCTGTTACGCATCAGTGTGAAATGAACAAAGGCACATGAAAAGGGTGTCTGAGCATGTACACACATGTGGACACACATGCCTGGACAGGATTGGGGTGAGCTGAGGAGAACAGGCCACATCCCTAGCCGGGAACAGGGCTGGGTCCCTTTTTGGTCAGGGTTGGGTCTGGATGTTGGGTGGCCTGGCTTTTCAAAGCCACCCCAAACTGACTGGCTCTTGTCTGAAAGAAGGTAGGGGAGGGAAGGCTGTTGGGACCTTCCCAACCTCTAGGTTTAAAAAAAAATGATTACCCATAATTCTATGGAGCTTAATCCTATCTTGCTGGCTTCATCCTAAATGGCTCCTGTGTCTCCTTGTTGTGGAGACTGTGGGTAGACAGGGAGCTTGAAGAGCTCCTGGAGTTTTCTCAGTGTCCTCCATCAACTGCCTCATGGGCCCTTGATTTGCCTCTGAAGACTGTTTTCAGAGTCTGGAAGGGTCTGGGCCTGGCCCTGCCACTGATCCGTGGTATGACCTCAGACTGATTGTGTATCTCCTCTTGGAATCTGTCACGGAAAGGGCTTGGGGATGATCAGGTGCCCCAAAGTGGGCTGAACTGGGAATGAATCAGTTTTGCCACTGTCTTCACTGTAAACTCTTCTCTCTCCTCCTCCTCCATAGTCTTGACTTCTCTACTATAGAAGGGAAGTAATTACTGATAGCCAATCTTTGTGCTAATCCCTGGGGTTGTTTTGAAATACTAGGACACTTTCACATACTAAATGAAGGATGGCTAGCCACAAGCTGGTGGCTCACACCTGTAATCCTAGCTACTTGGAAGGTGGAGATCTGGAGATTCTGGTTCCGAACCAGCCTGGACAGGAATATCCCTGAGTTCTTACCTTCAGCTAGCCTAATAAAAAGCTGGAAATGGGGCTGTGGTAGAGCACCAGCCTTGAGTGATAAAGCTAAGAGACTGTGCCCAGGCACTGTTCAAGCCCCAGGACTCTTCTCCCCTCCCTCCATTAAATAAAATTAAAAAATTAAATGATAGAAGGGCTAGATGTCTGAGCAACACTAGGGGTCCCAGAAGACAAGGCAGGGTGGAAAAAGACTCTAGGTCTGAAACCTGTATTGGAATCCTAGTCCCAGTCTAGCCCCAGCTCCAGCCCCAACCCCATGCTGGAAGTTTGAACTCTGACACTCCACAGCCAGTCTTGGTTTCAGGCCAGGTCAATAAGTGTCCAAGTAGACAAAGTACCCCTTCCTTCCCTCCCTCTCCCCCCACCCCCTGCTTTTTGCTCTCACTGAATCTCTCTCTCTGCTGGATTTGATGACCCCATGTACACATGTCTTCATGCATGTTCATGTGTATGTGTTTAACATCCCCGCTGACTGACCTGTACCTGGGTTTTGGTCACTTTCTGCTTGTGTAGTTTTAGAGAAGTGACTGACATTGCCTTTTTGAACTCTGGATTCTACCATTGCCAGAGGGACCATTATTAAGAGAACTGGATAGAGAATGGCATGGTGCACACCTGTAGTCTCAGTACTTGGGAGGTTGGGATCAGCCTGAGCTACACAGTGAAACATAAGAACCGGAAGAAGGAAGGAAGGGATAGATTGATAGAGATGGACTTACAACTGTTTAAGATCTCACACTGAGCAAGCCACCAAGGTCCTGCTGTTTTAGATTCTGAGCCCCAGGGGAATCTGCAGCTGGAGATGCCAGTAGAAGCTCCTGGTCCTGGCCTAGGTATATATATACTTACCCAACCTTGCAGGATCCTTCCCCCTGCCCTGCCAAGCCAAAGACACAGGCTGCGTGTATATGGAGGGGGTGGGGGGAGGGGAATTCCAGCACCAGTAGTCCACAGCTCCTGATTCCGGAGTCATGAAGTCATCCCTAACCAGAGCTTAACCCCTGCTGGAACCCACTCCCACGTGTGTGCCAAGTGCTCTGCATTTGTTTCCTGTGCCCTGGGTTAGAGGGATGCCTCCCCGCTGCCCTCTAGCCTGACCCTGCTTCCTTCTGGGTATCCAGAATCCTGCCTCTGAGGGGGTGGAAGAGAATACAGATATGGCTGCCTCTCCCCGGAAGCTGCAGGGAGGGAGGGTGTGGGAGGAGCCAGTTCTGAGTGCCTTTCCTGAACCTCTCTCTTGCCACTCGATACTCTTCCTGTCTTTGGGGCATCTTTATACAGATCCTCCTTCTCAGGGGCAGCCTCCTGTGGTTGAAGGACAGTTTGGAGCAGTTAGAAATACACTTGTCTTCTTTTTGTCCCAAGCTGTGTTGCTAAAACTCTGGGTCACTGTCCTGTTACAGGCTCAGATTCTCTTATCCATGACAGGAGGACAGGGCCTTTTTGGGGGTCTCTAGTTTTATTCTGTGGTTTCTAGAAGACCCTTACCTCCTATACTTATGGGATCTGGTCAGAGTGAAATGCTAGATCTTGCTCAGGGTTGTTCTGTGGGCAGACTGAGACCCAGGTCTAGAAGCTAAGGAGAAATGGTGGGCCTCGGAATGCCATCGAGCTACTGAAGGATCTTTGTTTTCCACTCAGTGGAGCTAGGGGCTGGGGGTGGAGTAATGTGCCCTGCCCTGCTCTGGGAAAGTTCTTTAACTCCCTGGACCTTGAATGTTTTCTGAAAGCTGCTTGGTGTGGAGTTGGGTATCAGACTCCGGAGTGACCAGCTGGGTCTCCATGGGGCAAGGGCCGAGTGACCCTTAGAGGGCAGGACTGTGCCTCTGTGTCCATCCTCCATGGTACTGGCCGTAGGACAGATGTGTAGACGTGTGGAAGACAGAAGAATCCAGGAGTCTGCTCTTGAGACACTAGGTTTGAGCAGTAGGTAGATCTGAAGCTGTCTTGAAATGTGAGTAAGTCAGTCCTGTCAGTCCCAACCCAGTCTGACTCAGCTGGGAATGGTGCCCCAGACTGGGCAAGGCCAGAGTCAGTAAGGGCACCTCCTGTCATGTGTGAATCAGCTGCCACTGCGTCATAGGACCCTGGGGGGTTGTAACCCACCCCGGGGCTATCACTGTGCCTGGGAGGTGCTGGACCGCCTTCGTTAGTTAAGTTGTGTTACCCAAAGAAATTAAGTTGTAATTCCCCCCCCCCCCACGGGTACACACACACTTCCCAGGCAGTGTGAGGGGAGGGCTTAAACTCAAAGCCTGCGCATTGTCCCTGAGCTTTTTTTTGCTCAAGTGCTAGTGCTACACTTCCAGTTTTTCTAGTAGTTAATTGGTTTTCTTGCCAAGACTGGATTTGAACCATGATCATCAAAAAATACATAGCCTCTTGAGTGGCTAGGATTACAGACAGGACCCGCTGGGGGCCAGAGCTGAGTTGTAGTCAATACCCAGTGTCCTCCACTGTAAAATAAATTAACAATACCTCCTCAGACTTACTTTAAAAACCTCCTGCCATGCAACAAGTGCTTAGCAAGTAATAGGAATAATCAATTATTATTTTTATTAACCCAGAGCAGGAAAGAGACTTGTGTAAAGTTACATAGCAGGATGGGGGCAGAGCAGGATTCAGGATCTAGGTTTCCAGACCTGGCTGGATCCCCTGCTAGTTAATACTTGAGGGTCCACTTTGCTGGCTGTTTTTAGGGGTTCAGCTGGCTGATGCTTTTCTTTTCTTGCATTCTAGATCCGAGAGACTGAAGTCATCGATCCTCAGGATCTCCTGGAAGGTGGATACTTCTCTGGAGACCTCCCTGATGATGAGGATATCGGAGGGCCGGGACAGGACAGTGATGACTTTGAGCTGTCAGGCTCTGGAGATCTGGGTATGGAGGGTGGGCAGGGCAGGCCTGGGGAGGGGAGGTGTGTGGAATGGAATGGAGGGAAATGGTGATCTTAGGAGGGAGGGGGGTGACTTGGCTGGGATTTGTGTGTGGGGATTTTCCAACAGTGCTCCTCCCCCACCTCCAAAGGGAAAACAGAAGTAGCTGGTTTAACTTTTCCCAGAGACCCTCTGGGGGGAGTTGTGTGTTGCTTTGAATTCATTCCTATCTGGGATTTTCAGGCACCAGCCTGAACCTGCCCTCATAGGCTCCTCCCTTTGGCAGAGGGGAAAGTAAGGGTGGAGGAGGAGCACCCATAGACTGTTTTTCTTCCTTTGGAAAGGAAAAGTACTAGCTCAGAAGCAGGGGTGGGGCAGGAGGGGGGATGTGTAGACAGAGAGGGGTGAAGAGTCAGGAGTAAGTCCCTAAACCTAGGTTTGTAGGAGACTGAGAACTGAAAGATTAAGGCTTAAGTCCAGCCTAGGTAGAAAAATAAAAGAACATTTCACAAGATCCTATCTCAGAAATACCAGGGCTGGAGGTGTGGCTCAAGTGGTACAATGCCAGCCTAGTAAACTGAAGGCCTTAAATTCAAATCCCCATAGCACCAAAAACAAACAGCCCAGTTTCAGATTAGGTTAAAGGGACTGAGGCTTCCTTTGGCTAAACCAACCAAAAGTGCTTTTGTAACATTTGACTTTCCTGGCTGCAAGTCAGACTGCTCACTGGTCTCTGTCCCTTCGGTCTTCAGGAATATGCTCATTACTCCAAGTTTGAGCCTTGGAGTCACACAGTGCTAGGTTCAGACCTCAGTTCTGTTACCTCTGTCTAATCCTTAGATTTCCCCATCTCATAATGACGACATCAGCGTTGTGTGACTGAATCAAGTTCACTCAGCTCTTGGCATATATCAAGCATTCAGGAAGTGTGTGTGTGTGTGTGTGTGTGTGTGTGTGTGTGTGTGTGTGTGTGTTCAAACAAATTGTATTGTCTACATTTAAGGTATACAACCTGCAGTTAAAGGATATATACATAGACAGAAAGGTTGCTCTTAAGAAGCAAATGAACCGTATCCATTGTCTCATGTAGTCACACAGATGTTTTAATATTACACTGTGTAGTGCTTAACACTGCAATTAGTCTCCTGAAACCTTAATTCCCTGGAGAATCTTGTTCTAATGCAGAGTGGGGTTTTATTGGCAGCAGGGCCCTGATCTCCAGCTCCTGGGCGCTGTCCCCTGAGCTTTTTTGCTCAAGGCTAATGCTGTATCACTTGGAGCCACAATACCATTTCCAGTTTTTGGGTGGTTAACTGAAGATAAGAGTCTCATGGACTTCTCTGCCCAGGCTGGCTTTGAATCTCCATCTTCAGATCTCTAGCCTCCTGAGTAGGGTTACAGGTGTGAGCTTTTGATGCCTGGCACCTTCTGCATTTCTAATCAGTTCTCCCAAGTATTGTTGGAGAGCTGAGAGTTTGGAGCTGCCCAAATACCTGCATAGACACCAGTGCAGCCAACATTGTTGTGAAATGGTCAGGGGAGCAGGTCTTAGGAGCCTGGTTTTTTCAGCCTAGGTGACTGGGGTTGAGGTAATGCTCAGTTGCTGGACTTGGGGCTTGTAGGGGCTGGTTGTAAGGTTGGAATCCTGCCAGCCATGGACAAAGGGATCAGTTACGTGGGCATAGTGGACCTGGTATTCATGCACCCATTATTCTAACTTTACAGATGACTCAGAGGACCATAGGACCTTCCCTGAAGTGATCCAACCCTTGGTAAGTGCTGCATGCCTTTGCCTCTCTCCCTTTGCTCTTCTCTAATACGTTTGTAAAGAGAAATGGAAAATTCAGATGCACCCTGGGCAGAATAATTGTGGGCTAGGTAGATTATCCTCCGTGAAAGGATGACCCATCCCTTTTTTGTGCCTTTAAACTGTTTACAGCACAGATATCACAATTGTGCCTGCCGGTCTGTGCTCTGTGTTGTCTACCTACAATGGTCCTGAGTATCTCCCTGCAGAACGAAATGTCCTTGTATTGTGATAGGTTGTATATTAGTTACCTGATTCTTATCGGTGAGGATGCTTAATTGGAGGTAAGATTCTCATAGGCTTTCAGACTTTGTGCCAGGACTGGCTTTGAACTGTGGTCCTCAGATCTCTGCCTCCTGAGTAACTGGGATTATCAGCAGCTCAGCTGTTGAGAACTTTTTCATATCCTGAAGTGGAAACTCTTTGAGGCATCTTTGACACACTTTGGTTAGCTCCTTGGGTACAATCCCAATACTGTCTCTAAGGGCAAGCAGTTTCTAAGATTTTACCACTTCTCCCTCTCTCTTTCCCTCTCTCCTTTCTCTCCCTCAATCCTCTCTCCTCAATCCTCTCTCCTTTCTCCTCTCCCTCTCTTGCTCTCTCCCTTTCCCTCTCCCTCCCTCCTCCCCCTTTCCCTTTCTCTCCCTCTCTCTCCTCTAGAATACTCATAGACAGGAGTGGGAAAGAACAACCCCTTCCCTGTGCCCTCCATCAGATTCATTTCCCATTAGGAACAGATACTATAGGAAAGAAGGACAGTGGTATTATTTTGAGAGGTTGATGGCTCCCAACCAGGACGGCGTCTTTCAGTCTAGATTTTACATCTGGCTGAATGTCTGTCTCTTCCTCTGTTCTAGGTCCTCCTCCCTGCCCCCGCCCCACTAAATTTCTTGAAAATATACTCCGTATTTCTCTTTCTTCCCCTGTCCTATTCAGGTGCCTCTAAATAACCACATCCCAGAGAGGGAAGGGCCTGGGAGGCGGGTTCCCACTGAAACTGGGGAACTGGAGGCGAACGAGGTCATCCCCAAGCGGATCGCACCCTTTGATGGGGATGAGGATGTGTCCAACAGAGTGTCCATGTCCAGCACCGCCCAGGGCAGCAACATCTTTGAGAGAACAGAAGTCCTGGCAGGTAAGGCCCCCTGCCCCTCCGGACGGGTCTGGACCAGGGAAGAGTGCTCTCAAGCCGAGGTGCCGCTCAACCCTGAAGTCAGTCGCCTTGGGGCAGGAAAGACTTTACTTCCCTTAAGGGGCTCTAACTGCTTGCAGCCCAGTGCCTGAGTCAGAAAATTGCATATCAAAGGTTTCTAAAGAATGGTCTACAGGTTTCTAATGAATCATGTTGTGGCCTTAAGCCCCTTAGGTATTTATTCAAATCACTTTCTCTGGCCTGTGGTTGGGCTCTGGGAGTTAATCATTGGATAGTTAATTTCCTCAAAAGAGCCTGGGAGCTCTCTAGAATTAGATTGGTTTCCCTTCTGCCTGTTCTGTCACTTAGCAGCCTTGTGACCTTAGCTCTGAAGAGTTTGAATAGGTTGGATGACAGTTTACCTATTGGGAAGATGGGTTTGAGGATACTGCTGTGAGAAATGAAAAAGGGGTAAATTAAGTAAAGGACTGTCACTGAGTCTTCATTTTCCTTTCAGGATGTGTGTGGGGCATATGTGACTCTGTGCCTTGCTTAAGGGCCTCAAGAGGTTAAAGGTTTGGTGTTAGGTGAGAAGTCTGTGACTGTAATGTTGCTGGTGTAGGTTAAGCTCTGTCCAGGTGAGGCTTAAGGAGTGGCTCTGTCAAGCCCCGCAGGAGGTTCCCTCATCTAGTGTCCAGTCCTGTCTTCTTCCCTCACTCTCCCAGCTTCCCCCAGTTTGGGGAGAGAGGTAGGTATCCCCACAGCTGATTGTCAAAGGAAGAAGGGAACTTTTCCATCATGGTACAGGCTTACTGGCTGTGGTTGAAGACCTGCCTGGATGAACTGGCCTGATGAACCGGCCTGGTGAGTGGGTTCCCCTAGGCCCAGGCTGGGTAACTGTTGTTTCCTGGGAACCAACTGGGCCAACAAACTCTGAGGAGGTAAGGTATAGGGAAAGAGCTCTGTGCCAAATGCCAGGAGTTGAGACAGGTGAAGGATCTCTCTTAGATCTTACAGCTGTAACAGAGTGCAACTTGGGATGGTCTTGGGCTAGGCCCTGCTCCCTGACCTCTTGGTACCTGTGGCAATGTTTTGTTTTTTTCGGTTGATTGTGGGGCTTGAACTCTGGGCCTGGGCACTGTCCCTCAGCTCTTCAGCTCAAGGCGAGTGCTCTACCATTTGAGCCACAGCCCCACTTCCAGTTTTCTGTGGGGCTTATTGGAGATAAGAGTCTCATGGACTTCCCTGCCCAGGCTGACTTTGAACTGTGATCCTTAGATCTCAACCCCCCTGAGTAGCTAGGATTATAGGCGTGAGCCTGTGGTGCCCGGCTCAGCTGGTATATTTTAGATGGTAGATTTTTATTTCTGTTTAACTTTTGCTTTAAGCAGTGAGAGGTTCTACTGCTTCTGTAGAAACATGTAAAATCATTCCTCTTATCTGAGGAAAAACTGAGGCCCAGGCTTTGGGTCACAGAGCAAACGAAGCCAGGCCATCTCCTTCTGCTTCCATTTAAGAATTACATGTTTTCAGCTAACGGAGGCGGGAGTCTCCCTTCCAGTAGCTTTTCAACAGCACTTGTAGCTTGTCAGCGGATTCCTCTGGCCTTCGTTGTGTCCCCAGAACAACCTGACATGGGAGTCTGATGAACTCTAAAGTCACAAAGCCAAGAAGTGGTGAATCTGGCATTAGGCCCTAGGACCCTGGTTGACTTATGAGCCTGTGCTTGGACCTTAACCCCAGTGGCTGTCCCAGCACAGATCAAGGGCCTGATTGATGGAAGAGTGGGCTGTTAGAAAGTGCTGGAAACAGGAATAAGACTGATGCCTAGAGTTCCATGTGATTTCTCTGGCAGCACCCTGGAAGCCCTTTGTTGCTGCCTTTTATAGGGTTTTAGCCAAGAAAGAACCTTATTTGGCTCCTTTGTGCCACCTCACCCCCTTCTGTGAATAGATTTGTAGTGTGTGCAGGGATGGGAAATTAATCTTCTTAGACTAAGACCGAATTAGGGTACTCAATCTGCTACAGAAAGGATTCTGTGAGCCATCCCTGCCCCCTAACAAACAGGAATGAGTCATTCAAGCCACCTGGCATGGTGGACAAGACAGATGCTGACTCAATGCTAGAAGTCCACTTCGGCTCCGCACCAGCCGGAGGTTCCTCACGCAGCTGAACTGGGAGAGCCATGTACGAAGTACTCCCTGTTGTGCAGGCAAAGTTCAGGTGCTGGGGGCTAGATAGAAACCACAAGGGTTCACAGGCGCACGAGTCTGTAAGAGCAAATCATGGGTATGATCCTAATGGCTATAGCCAGTGGTTGGGAGAGGTAGGAACAGAAACAAGCCACCGCCACTGAGGAATATGTGGGGCTATAATAATCTAACATGGTAATAGTGTGTTCTACGTGTCTGTGGAATACATACAGTGCCTGCCAGTAGTTGTATAGGCTCAGATATATATGCACACACAGGGTAAGCTACAAAGCACCCTATGCTGAGGATAGCAGTGTCTATGGGGGTTTCCATAGACGGCTATTGTCCTTGGTCCTAGCTCAGTACTAAGCTACTGCTGGGGAGTCCTTAACCCTGTGATCTCCAGGGACTTACTTATAATCCCTATTTGAGGTTGTAAGAGTCAGAGGTGTGGTGGTAACAGTGAAGGTGTCTGACTATAAGGGTGTGGGGAGTGTGTCTAGTCTAAGGTGCTGAAGAAGATCTCTCACTCTGGTCTCCTGCCCTCTTCCTCTCCAGCTCTGATAGTGGGTGGCATTGTGGGCATCCTCTTCGCTGTGTTCCTGATCCTGCTGCTGGTATACCGCATGAAGAAGAAGGATGAGGGCAGTTACGACCTGGGGAAGAAACCCATCTACAAGAAAGCCCCGACGAATGAGTTCTATGCATGAAGCTCCCGCAGATACAGCTTGGACTTTGGCGGGGGGGAGGGAATCCAGAGGATTGTGAGTAATGGGCATTAGAGTTAGGGGGTGGGCACCTTAATACTGACCCATTGGTGTCTCCAGCTCTGACTGCCTCTCCAGCATCAGAAGAGACATCATCTTCCACTGTGCTGCCTTGCTCTTCTCGATTCTTTGGGCCTTAGTTATTCTGGCAGAAAAGAAAATAATGAGGTTAAACTTGACCTTTCTGAAGGCAAGCCTGGGGTTGGGGCTGGGGTCATTCAAAAGATTTTCAGATTCGAATCTAGGACCAGTTTAGAGCTTGTACTGAACCTGTCTCAGCAGGGTCTTCTTTCACGCCTCCCTTCCTCCCTCATCCCCCCATAAAAGCTAGAGGTGACTTGTGTGTAGAAGTCTGCTGGGGCTGCCTTCCTTCCTCCTTTCCCAGCCTGTCCCTCTGCCAGGAATTGGGGAAAGACACTAGAAAGCCCTGCACCTTGGCGCCTCGAGGCCTGTCCTCCAAAGGTGTTTGTACACACACTACAGGAGTGTCTGTGGTAAACTTTGGGCCATTCTAGGCTCTTTCAAGTGACTTTTAGAAATCAGTCTTTTTTTTTTTAATGTGGGGGAGGGAGGAAAGGCAGGGGGCCAGGGGAGAAGTGTGGAAAGCTCGCTTTGAAGTGGATTTGTAGAGTTATTTGTATATCTATTTTGTCAAAATGATGGTTCATTCCTTTGTGTGCAGGAATATCTGTACCTGGGTCAGGGTGTAGAGATGGGGAAATGTTTTTATCACCTGTTTTTTCCACCGCCTATGCTATTTGTATTTAATGGTTTTGTTTTTGTTCTTGTATGTTTCTTGAAAATGAGAAGAAAGCAGGAGGTGATTTTTTTATTAATTTTTTTTTTTACTATTTATAGCTTCAGACAGGGCCCCTTCCTTCCCCCCATTTTTCTTTAAATTCCTCCCCATTTTTTTTAATAGTTCACACTCCCTGCTTATGACCTTGGCCCCTTTTCTGAAGCTGCTGCTTCTAAGTTAGTGTTTTGCTGAAACATAGTTTTCTAGCAAATCCAGATTCCAAAATATAATATAGGGGACGGTGAGGAGTTTGTGTCTGTGTGCTTTCTTGTATTATTCGCCTTTCTTGGTTCTAGAAAAAATAGATTAAATATATTTTTTCAGGATATAGCAGGATATTTCCAATTTCATGTTGGCTGGGTTGTCTGAGTGAGTGAGTTTTTATGTGACTAGTTTGTTTGTTTGTTTGTTTTCTATCCTTTCCTTGCCCTGTTCCTGGTGCCTTCTCCTGTCTGAGTTGGAGTGGTTGTGAGGGTTGAATATTCCAACACTTTTTCTGCCTTCTTCCGGGGTCCCAGCAGAAGGGATTCTTGGATTTGCTTTCTCTGAGCTCTAGGAATATGTTGTCCAATTAGGGTAACCACACACATGTGGCTGTTTCAATCAGTTTGGTTTAAATCATGTAAAGGGAGCAAAATCATTCCACATTTGCACTGACCACATCGGAGTGCTTGGTGGCCCTCCTGACCCTACAGAGGAGAGGATTTCCATCGATTGGGCACTTTGTGTTGGAGAACTGAACTGATGTAGTGAATCACAGCTTAGCTTTGCTGGGAAAACCCTTGTCTCCCTGGGCAAGGCAAAGCAAGGGGGCGGGGAGGAAGGCAATGAAGGGCCTGTTATCCTGGCCTCTTCCTTTTACAAAAGAGAGGCCTGGTGCATTGGCTTATGTCTTCTGACCCCACTGACTGGAGTGGTGGGAATCATGCTCCTTAAAGCATCCACTGGCTCCTGTCATTACCCCAGCCCAGGGTCCCAGCTGGCTGGGTCCTTTTCTGGTCCCAGTCCCCTTTGCCTCAGACTGTATTGTAATGAGCACCTTTTCTGTAGTCCCTCTCACACTGTTGTCTGTTACTGATTTTTTTTTTGATAAAAAGATAATAAAACCTGATACTTTCTAGACTGCCTATCTCTGTCATTTCATGTTTATAATAAATCATTATTTCTGGGTTCAATAGCCGTAGAACTTAGTGAAGCATGAGAAAATTCCTTTGACTGAATTTCCCCCAGGTGCCAGATACAGGAGCAGAGGCAGAAGAACACAGGGAGGGGCCTCCAGGGATGGGAGATGTCAGCACTCGTTCACTGGTGGCCTGGACAGTGTATCATCTCTGCTTCCTGTGTTGGTTAGGTGGCACTGTTTAAAAACAAGCACAAGCTGAGCACTGGCGGTTCACCTATAATCCTAGGTACTCGAGGCTGATATCAGAGGATCGCAATTCAAAGTCAGCCCAGGCCACGAGAGTGTATGCAACTCTTACCTCCAGTTAATCACCAAAAAGCCAGAAGTGGAGCTGTGGCTCAAGTGGTAGAGTGCTAGCCTTGAGTACAAAAGCTCAGAGGCAGCACTATGCCCTGAGTTCAAGCCCAGAAAAACAATCTTGAATGAGTTGCCATTGATACAGAAATAGTTCCTCAAAAGAGTCCGGACTCTTTTCTTTTTTTTTGTCGGTCATGGGGCTTGAACTCTGGGCCTGGGCGCTGTCCCTCAGCTCTTCAGCTCAAGGCAAGCGCTCTACCACTTGAGCTACAGCGCCACTTCTGGTTTTCTGGTGGTTTATTGGAGATAGGAGTCTCACGGTCTCTCCTGCCTGGGCTGGCTTTGAACCTCGATCCTCAGATCTCAGCCTCCTGAGTAGCTAGGATTACAGGCGTGAGCCACCAGCGCCCGGCAAGTCCGAACTCTTTTCTATTGGGGGGAGGGGAGGTAGGGTGACAAATCATTTGGGCAACTGACAGTCTGATTGGCAAAAAGTGGATGTGTCTTAAGGCACATGGCTCTGCTGTCCCCCATCCTCCTTCAGCTTGGCTTCTGCAGACACTCTGATTGGAAGGTTCTGGAAACATTGACAATCTCTCATGGTCCTCATAACAGCCCTAGGAAGTGTGGATCATTTTTACCAAGTGTGTAACCTGCCCTTGGCTTATGTGTGCAGAGTTGGGCCAGATCCTTGGCTGTTGGTTTTCCCTTGCTTACCACCATGTGGGTGCTCCCTGTGTAGTGGGGGAGAGGGGAGGAGTCCAAGAGGGGTTGACAGTACAGTCATAAAATCTTACATTGCCCATTCCACCATCCAGGAACCCATTCTCAAATGCTTTATCTGAATCCATCACTACTGCAACTCTACAGCATTGGTGCTGTTAGGATAGCCCCATTTTACAGCTGGGAAACCTGTATCTAAAAGGTTGAACAATTTTCCCAAAGCAACCAGCTTACTAGTGGTGGAGGTAGAACTTGAACCAACTAGGTAGCCAGACTGCTCAGAACCATAGTACTCATCAGGTTTATGTAATCTCCATGAAGCAGAGCGGGCCTCAGATCCCTTGTGAGCTCAAATCCCTCCTGAAGTTCTGCAATACGTTAGTTGGGTTTTTTTGGGGGGGGAGGGGGAGCGGGTCCTGTGAGGCTCTGTTCTTGTCATTTGTTTCTTGGAGCAGGCCTTCATATCTGTTAGTTCTTCACTGTTCATTGCCTACTAGCAGCTATGGGTGTTTGAGTTTTAAAACCATTAGAAATAAAATTCACTTCCTCAGTTACACTAGCCTCATCCCAAGCGCTCGGTGGCTACTGGTTATAATCCTGGACAGGCAAACAGAACATTACAGCTTCCTAGAAACTGTAGATGAAGACACAATCTGTGTTTGGATTTCGGCTTCCACCAGCTGTTTGCCTGTCCACTGCCTGGTGGGAGGAAGAACAGATTCTTGCACACATTGTTTCATAAATGGCCATCTCATTGCCACCTTTTGGGTAGCCCCTTAGCTCCAGAAGTCTCCATTACTTTTTAAATTGTCCCCAAATTTGGGGACTTAACATAAATCCACTCTCACCCAGTTCTCTTGAATCAGGAGTAGCTTAGCTGGTGGTTCTGGCTTAGAATCTCCTAAGGTTGTGGTCCAGAATTGCAGTCATCTGAAAGTTGGGCTGGAAGATCCACCTCCAAGATGGCACACTCACTTGTCTGGAAACTTGATGCTGGCTATTGTCAGGATGTCTTGGTTCTATAAAATGGCTTCTTGAACAGTCAGTGATTCAAGAGGCTCAGGTAGAAGGGAGCTGTATTAGTCAAATTTCATCACTGTGACAAAATACAAGGGGAGGAAGATTTATTTTGTCTCCTGGTGTCATCCCATGCACACTGGGCTCCCTATTTCTGAGCCTGGGTTGAGACAGAATATCATAATGGAACAGAACTACCAGCTTCATGGTGGCCAGGAAGCAAGAACAGGAAAGGGTAGGGACAGGGATAAGTTTCTAGATCATTCCCCTAGTGATTTAACTTCCTTCAACTGGATTTTACCTACTTTTCTACCTTACAAGCTTCTCTACCTCTTAATAATACCATCATATGGTGAATCTATGAAAGGATTAATCCACTGATTAAGTCAGAGCCCTTCAGTTACTCCCAAAAGCTCATCAGCTGGCAAACAAGTCTTTAACACTGAGTCTTTTGGGGTAACACTTCATCCAAATCGCCCCTCTCCCCCAATCCATCTTAGTGAAGCTTTAAAGCCAGCCCAGGTAGAAAAATTCATGAGACTCTCCTCTCCAATTAACTAGCAAAAAAGCCAGAAGTGGAGGTGTGGCTCATGTGGTATAGAGTCAGTCTTGAGCAAGAAAAAGCCAAGTGAGTCCAAGGTCCTGAGTTCAGGCACACACACACCCAAACCCATACACAATAGTGACCATGGCTCTGTCATTAGACAATACTTGGGGGGCGGGGGGGCGGGCAGAATCTGATTTTTTTCTGGAGAGCTAACACTCCATGACACAATATTTCAGAGAATCAAGCAAAGAATGCAGAGCAGATACTGGATCACATCAGGACATGTTTATTCAGGATCTGCCAATCTTCTGAAGCTTTGAAAGCACTGACCCATGCATGGGACATTTCTTGCATGGGCATGGTAAAGTTGACAAGCAAACAAACAGATCTGACTCTGCCAATTGGCTATGTGGCTTTGAGGAATAATCAGAATTCCAAGATGGTCCACAAAAGTTCTCTCCTTGCCCTGCCCCCTGGTGTATATGACTTGCATTACAACTGGTATTATTCTCTTCCCTTGAGTGTGAACAGGATCT